ACATCTGACCAGTCAAACTTTTTATTGTACCGGAAGCTGAGTGTCTGATTTTACAAACGAAGAATAAACTGTAATATTAGAAAAATATGAAGAGGCTACACACAATAGAGAATGCAGGTGACACAGCTGCTGCAGAAAAGTCAGGGGTGTGAGAGGAAAAACAAAGTTTAGCCTATTTTGATGGCAGAAAGAAAAGCTGACAAAAATGCCAGTTGTGTGAGTTAACAGACTTACTAATATCACAACTTTACCATTAAGAAACACGAGAATCTGATGGGTTATAGTCAAGTAGTCCAGTGTTCAGATTTGCATATCGTGGTCTTGTTTTTTGTTTTGTTTTTTTCATCTGCACCCTCGATGGTGTTGAATGGTCTAAGAACATGTAAAGAACAAACACAAAAACAGAATTCAAATGTAGACTTAGTCTACCTGCGACTGATATGAAGTCAAGTAGAAATGGGTGTCCAGATTATATTCATGATATTTTTGATTAAAAAAACTCAAGAAATAAAATTGAACGAAATAAACCGTATTTATTACTAATAAAATGAATGGTGAAGCTATTTTCACAAGACTTGATCAGTCAGTAGGCGATATAACTGGATACCTAACTCAGGTTAGGTTTGCAGCATAAGTTACTATGGCGATGTACTCCGAGAAGAAGTGAACCACTTTCATAGTGCAGAAAACCCAGGGGTAACCCCCAAAGTTACTGGGATAAGCTAAAATCCTGCTACTTTGTAGTACGAGCCTGGTGTCAACCAGCTGGCAAGGCTACTCTGAGCTCTGCATACAAACGCAAACTGAGAGCAGGGTTTCCCCAGATACTTTTGATAATTTTCTTGCTGCTGTGTTAGTTATCATGGTGTTTGTTCTTTGTGTTTTAACAGAAAGGTTTTGATGTGTTCAACGCCTTGGACCTAATGGAGAATAAGGTGTTTCTGGAGAAGCTCAAGTTTGGGATAGGAGATGGAAATCTGCAGTATTACCTCTACAACTGGAAATGTCCCCCTATGGACCCTGATAAGGTCAGTCTCAGGTGGTAATCACGCACCAACTATTGGTCAGCATCCTGTGATAAGACTCCATGACAATTAGTGGAAAAAGTGGAAATAGTCTTTGGTTCAGATCTCAGTAGAGCTGCTTCTTGTGCCTGATTGTGCAAGCTTCACAGTCAAATAAGTCTATAGCTTTGAAGCAAATCCACAGAAGCCTGATAAGGAGAAATCATCCTCTGACATGATTAAGTATGCCTTAGATCATGGAAGCCTAGTTTTGATTGCAAAGGTGTATCCTGGGAAAAAACACAGGACTTTTGGAACAATGTCCTTTTGACAAATTAGACCAAAGTGGAGTTTCAGTGCAAACACCTCATACCAGCAGTCAAGCACGGAGGTAGAGGGTGATGATGTGCACTTGCTTTGTTAGCCCACGTCAGATCATAAAAAGTTTGATCTGTGTGTTTCAGGTTGGCCTGGTCCTTCAGTAGCAGCTCTCTTCACGGCAGCTGCATAAACTCGGGAGGCTCTCAGCGATCTCTGGAAATACCTTACCTGGACACGCAGGTGGCCCGAGCTAGACAATGAGAACTGCGACAGTAAATCCAACCTGGCGCCCGAGTGGAGCTTTCACTCGGCACTTGTATCATCAAAAACATTCTCAGTTCACCCAGAGGTGAAAACTCTTAAACCATCCAACATCCTGAATGTGAAGTCATGCTATGCCTGAGATACTCATACGACACAACGCTCCTGACATAAGCGCTCACGTTTAAAAAACACACACACACCGGTCTGACACTCGAGGATGCCTTGACATTGTGTATTCTGTTTTAAGTTCTTCTTCCTCAGTAGACACCAATGGACCGGCACGTCATTTAACTTTACTTACGTGGAACTATGTAAATGATAATCAACTAAGCAAGCAAGACCTGACATAATTAACAACTGTTGTAATTTTATTTATCTTGTCCATACAGATACTGTTCCCAAACCCCTTTCTCCTCCTCCTCCTTCCTGCTCCTGCTGCACTTATTTTTGCTCCAGTTTCATATCAGTGTGGTCAGTCGAGTGTCTCTGCTGGCTGTTTTGGGCCTCAGTAGAATTAGAAATGCTGATCTTAACTTTTAAAATGACAAACTGCAAACACTGAGAGGGAGGAAAAAAGGATTCATCCCACTGGTGCATTGATATACATGTGTTTTGTTAAAGAGCATATGGTAGTTAATTGTACATTTAAAGGCAGATCATATTTATTTGTGTAGTGTGAGTTTGAGGGGTTTGGGAGGGCTGATCCAAAGTATTCTCCTCATGAGTAGCTTAGAAGTCACCGAGTTTGTTCAAAGTGTTTGGGGGTTTGTTTATTTTTTTTAATGAATGTATTGCAGAGACGAAGCACAATTACTCCGTTCTTAAATATACAAAATAAATGGGTCCTCGTTTCAAATCAGATGGGATTGCCCTAGAATCTGTACAGCCAGGGTTTTTACGAAGGACGGGCGCAGTTTTCACCTTATAAAACCGTTTCTAGAGCTGGCGTTTTTTAATACATTAAAACAACATGTTTGGTTGTACACTCTTTGTAGTAACAAACCCAAGCGTAGGGTTGTTTGCATGTCAGTGGTGTGCTGTCCAGTTAGTAAAGCTGTTCAGTTAGAAGTAATAGGAGCTGGTCTGGTCAGTGCATAAGCAGGGCAGTGAGAATGACGCCGGTGAACGTGGGGAAAAACTTTCAATTTTATACAAAAAAGTTTAAAGTTTCTGTTTAGAGCCAGGTTTAAAAAAAAAGAGGTTTATTTACTATGGAAGGTCTCTGTTCAGCAGCAGTTAAAGCAAACAGGGCACATCTTCTGTTACTTTGGTCACTGCCACCCACAGCAGTGGATAAACTGCTTCAGAGGAAACACTCTGTGCTTATTAAACAAAGGACTTGTTTAATCACGGGTGCAGTGGCATCAGCTTGAAGTGTCCTCTCCTCCAGATCCGCTTTCATTGACTTCTCTGGGTTTATTTTTTTTAATGGTACTGTATTTTGTGTATGTTTTGTTTTTTTTCTACATGTGTTGTGCAGCTAAGTGCGTGAAACAGTTGTGATATTTATAACTGTACCTTTTTCTTTTTTTAAATGTCTTACATCATTTCTTTCTTCCTTTTCAGTATTTAAAACAAACATGACTGTCAGATTTGTGATTTAAGAGCTGGAGGAGGATCTTTGATAAAACTGTTTTATTTTTTTGTCTGTGGTGGAGCTGCTGGTTAATTTAAATGTTCTAGTTCCTTAATGTTCACGGGGCTCTGCGTAACTTGCAAGGTAAAGAGGCTGCTTTTTATTTTAATGACTTTATTGTTAATATTTGATGTACTTTTCTAATCATCCCTTTATAGATTAGCCAGAAGAGGATAAATATTTGTCCTGTTGGTGCTTCAGGGCTCAAAGATGTTGTTGTTTTTTTTTTAAATCACTTAAAGGTTGAATGACGTTATCTTCTACAAAGGTGTTCCTGGCATTAATTTAACTGAGAGTGGGTCGCTGGGTCAAAGCTGTGTGCCTCATGGATGTTTCTGTGTCACAGATGTGTTGCTTGCAGCTGTCTGAATGAACTCTGAGCATGTCTGTTTTGCTGCTGCGTTGATTTATAGCATCAATGTTTCTAGCCACGCCCTTTAGCGAGAACTCGGTCAGAAGTACCTGCCTTATTTAAAGGTTGTTTTTTTTGTTTTGTTTTTTAAGGTTTGGAGGTGGGGTGCGGGAGGGTGTACTTTTGAAATGTCATAAAGCTTTCTCTAACTGAAGAACAATATTTTTATTCGATTCCATTGTAAGCTGTGAAAAAGCTGAAGAACTTGTACCAGCATCATTTAGACATGACCCCATGCAAATAACAATCTGTTTCAACACACGTCGGCTATACCAGCATGGATATTTGATTGAATAAACTCACTTTAAAAAGGAACACGAGTCATGACTCCTTTGTGACGCACTGCAGGAAACACTTTTTCACAGCACATATTTTGAATTTAAGTATTTGTAATTCAGGCACCACAGTGGTTAGCACTATTGCTTCACAGTAAAAAGGTCCTCAGTTCAATTCCACCATCAGGCTGGGATATTTTCTGTGTTCCTTCCAGGTACTTTGGCTTCCTCACACAGGATAAGCAGAAGAGAATGGATAGATGGATACTCGGAATTCTTTATCAAGACCACAGGGTACTCTCTGCGTGCTCCGGGTTTCTCCCACAGTCCAAAGACATGCAGTTAGTGGGGTTAGGTTAACTGGTGATTCGAAATTGCCCATAGATATAAATGACTGTCTGTCACTGTTTTAGCTCTGCGACATGCTGCTATACCCTGCCTCTCATCCCATGTCTGCTGGAATAAGGTTCAGCTCTCCTGCACCCTAAAAATTGGATAAGAGATCCACGTAGTTAGTCCATGTTAGTTATTGATAGTTCTATTTATTAATACTCATTTTATTAGAAATAAGTAATGGAGCTGATATTTTGTTTGGGATGTGTGGTGTTATGTCTGTGTCTGCAGAGGCAATGTCATTTCCTGCAAAGGATTAATAAAGGATCTTTCTATCGATCTTAATCTTTCTCCTCCAGCCATCGATTTTCTGCTTATCCGGGTCACGGGAGCAGCAGTCTAAGCAGAGGCACTCAGACCTCCCTTCCCAGGAGGGCATCAAGACATTCCCAATTCAACCACGTGATGTAATCTCCCAGTACCTTTGTCCATCTATAATTATTTACAGCAAACTAAACTTGGAAAATGATCATTAAGTTGGCTCATTTTTGCCTACCTGAGGTCTAAAATGTCTGCTTACATTTCAACATAAATGTACTACTACTTTCTACTTAGTACCCGAGTAATCCAGCAGAACAGCTCCAAGATGTTGGTGGTGTAAAGGCAGCCCTCTGTATGATATAGAGGAAATATATTTCATTTGAGGGTAAAATATTACAAGCTCCATTTAAAACAAACAAACAGCACTATCAAAATACCAGGAAAAACTTAATTGTCTTTATAAAAAACAATGTGTGCAGACCAGCTTTAATTATGGACAAATTGAAATTCAAACTTCAGTCAGACCATATTCAATTGTATAAATATGCATGAAACCAAATGCAATGCTACTAATCTGCTGAAACAATGAATGCAAACCTGAAGGTCTGAGGGTTCCCCAGATAAAAAAAATACTTGAGAGAAAAGTCTAAACCTTGTTCCCGAAAAGTTTTTTTTCTCTTTACGCTTCCAGAAATTCTTTATATAAAGTATTCACATAAGTAATGTCCAGACTGAGGCTGCAAGCACTGTTCAAAGTTTCTCCTTCACTTTACAGCTATTTCTTCGGCTTCCCTTTCTTTTTCTTTGCAGGGTTAGCAACGATTCTCTTCACCTGGAGCGGCTGCAGAGTGCAGGAAGAGGGAGACTCTGACACCTCCTCAGATTCACTTTCCAGTTTCCTTTTTTGTCCCCTTCTTTCACCACCTTCCTCCTCCTCCATGGCAACAGGTTCTTCAGGTTTAGCACCTTGCAGCCATGCCATGTCCAATGTAGGCACTCTGGGCTTAATGGCATCGACAGTGTCGGTAAACACCCCATCGTCACTGGAGGAGCACCGTCTGAACCCTAGGGCGAGCACGCTTTTCAGCCCCAGCGGCTCCGACACGCTCTGGCTCAGGCGAGGCACCTGGCAGGCCGGCACTCCTCTGGTGGTGCTCAGAGCGATCAGGTGATTGGTCATGTGTTTCGGTTTGACAGACTTGCACACGAGCAGCAGTCTGAGTTCGTTTCTCTCCAGAGCCTTGGTCACCTCGTTGATGCCAATGGCCAGCTGCCGTCTGGCTGCCACATCTGTCCAGCCGTTTTTGGAGGAATCGCTCACCTGGGGAACAGGTTCTGGTGCGACATCAGGTTTTTTGCCTTTCTTTTTCCTCCATGTGCGAAACACTTTCACTTCTTTTTTCTCCAGACCCATTGAGATCAACTTGTCCTTCAGAGTTTTCAGGATGAAGTGCATGTCCTCTTGGGGGAGTGGGCTCCATTTTGAGGCAAAGGGTGAGGTGAAGGAGGTCTTGGCTGGAGTCTGCTTTTTGATTTCCTTTTTAGTCAGCTTTCCGGGAGCTGCCATGACTGTTTGGAGCATAAAACAACCGACACTGTAACAAAAGAGAGAAAAACTGCTTTAGAGTCTGGCAACCAATCACTGGACACTTTATTAAGTACACCCGTTCACCTGACTGATAATGAAGGCAATCAGATGAGTTCACTGTACTTAACCTCCACAATCACTAGATCTCAATCAGATAGAGCACCTTTGTGATCTGGTGGAACAGGAGAGTCACATCGTGTATGTGCAGCCACAAATGTGATGCTGTCACGTCAACATGGGTCACATGTTGATCCCCCAAGAATCTTTCATGAAGAAATAAAGCAGTTCTTAAGGGAAATGGGGGTCCAACCCAGCACAAGGAAGATGTACCCTTATGAACTGGCCAGTAAATGTAAATAATTGTTGATGTTAAATTAAAGCACAGAAATGCCAAAGATGAGTTAAACAGCTTATTCACATATACAATACAATACAATTTTATTTATATAGCACATTTAAAAAACCACAGGTATGCCAAAGTGCTTCACAGAATGAGTTAAAAGCAATAATAAATACAAATATAAAGCACAAAATACAAAATACAAATAAAATATACTAACAGGCGGGTGACATAACTAACCAATAATACACCAGGCATAGTAGACACTAGTGAAGTCCACACACAATGCTGAAGGTTAAAACATAAACATTAACAAAGTGATAAAGATAAGTTCCAGTACACTAAAATTGTGGGCTCTAGGAGGCGGGGAAAGCAAGGCTAAACAAATAAGTTTTTAATCGAGATTTAAAAGATTGAATTGTATCAGACGCCCGAATAGCTAGGGGGAGGTTATTCCAGAGGTAGGGTGCGAAAGCGGCGAAAATTTGTAAAAAAGTAAAAGCAGTAAAGAGTAAACACGACTAAGAGGAATAAAGTACATTTTAAGATGAGTGAATAAAATAGAAAAAAAACAAGAGCACATTTGTTAATTGTTTTTATCCATAAGTCAGACTAAACAAACAAACAACGCCATTATACACTAATACGATTAGCAACGTTTTTATTTCGCATTTCTTTAACCCACGTGGAAATGTCGTTAAATTTCGGATCTTCTTCGGCTCTAATAAAAAAACTTTTCGCTTCTGCAGAAGCGTTAAAAACAAACACAGCCGCCGTTACCTGTAGTTAAAGCAGATAACGCATTTCTCCTCGTCTTCTTTACAGCTTCAGCCCAGCTGCATGAGAGACACGCAGGGCGCTGCCATTTTGTTTCAATTTAAATAACTTTATTTAAAAAGCCCCACAGCGCCGAAAAGCGGCGAAAGGGCGACACGACAGTCAAATCATCAAAGAGTCAGCGAAGGCAGTGAAGGTGGAGTTTAATAGGCGGCGAACACTGTTATCTGACACTGTAGTGTCTGATGAAGGGGAAAGTGCATGAAGTCTCCTTCATGAATCCGTTGGAGTAAAAGTGCACGAGCACAGGGAATATAAAGTAGGCTTTTCTAAACCAACTAATCAATTCGTTTAAATGCACTCAAAAGTGATTTTTTACACCAAGCAATAATATGAATAAAAAGGAAACATATAAAATAAAAGGTTTATTTATTCAAATACTTCATCGTTAAGGGAAATGTGTTTCGTATAAACTGAATGTGCACGAACCAAGTAAATTTAATTTGAGCAGACTCCAATAATTGTAACATTTCACATTGTACTTGTGGAACAAAAAAAAAAATCAAATCAAATAATAATAATACACATTCACATGTAATGAAATTAGTCCGCATTTTGGGCAGATTTAAAAAAATATATTTTTACATGGAGTTCTGTGTAGGAAGCATATTGTGGTAGAGGTTGTATTAATCCTGCTGAACTGATATGATTATATCTCCCTAAATTTATTACACTGTTGCAAATGACACGTCATAAAATCGACGTAGTCAGTGGACTAGGTGCCATAGTCCACCATATCTCCCCACTTTATTAAAGTCCGTGCGCGTGTGTGTGTCGCTGTGAGTGAGGGTGACAGGCAGCCAATCAGCACCTCCGCAGCTGTCTGCTCCCTCCCCCTGCAAGTCTCTGCTTGGCTCTCAATAGTGCATCGATCAGCTGTGCTGCAATTACTGCTGCTTAAAACCCTTCAAAGCAGGACATTCATCTGCGCTCCCAGCCTTTACCTTTACCAAGATGACCCTCCAGGTAAAATCCTGCGTTTCTTTGCTCTTTTATTATTGTTATTATTATATATTAGATGCTACATTATCGCGATGAACCGAACAGCGCATGCCATCTTCTGGCCGTATGCAGTCATCCATCTTTGACGGGGTGGATGAAGGAAAGTAGTGCCTAAACGCGTTAATGCTCTCGGCTCAGTGGTCCTGATGCTGCTCTTAGAATATAAAGATTTGCTGCTTAGAAGCAGAAAATATGAAAACATGATGAAAATTCACTAGATTCAGAGTTTGTCTCTATGAGAAATGAGAACATGTGGAGGTAAACTGGATCTATATGCAAACATCCGCTTTTTGACCAATGGTCAGCATTCAGAGCTGGATCATTATATATTTCAGCTGCACCTCAGTAAAGAGTTAAAAGGTTTTTTAGGTCTTTGCGCATATTAAAAATGGTTCCTGTGATCTATAATTATCAGTTCTGCTGTGTCCCAGATCCTTTGAAAAGCAGATTATTTGAGTAGGCACACAGGCTCTGGTCTCATATAAAAGCCCATTGTTTATGTCAAGCTTGTGCAACAATCAGTTTCCCAGGACTGCCCCGTGCCTAGAATACCACACTCACATTTCTTATTCAGTGCTTGTAACTCATTAATATGCACACTCTCGTATTTGATGTAATTACTTTACATTCCTGCTGGACTTTATTGCAAAGAGAAGAAAGCCTCCAGTCCAGTGTTTTTCCATCTCAGATACACTGCTTATGTTTTCTGAATAATTAATGGAAAACATAAAGAGTGTTCATGTCACCTGCAGGCAGAATTTGACAAGGCAGCAGAGGATGTGAAGAAGGTGAAGGCCAAGCCCACAGACGAGGAGCTGCTGTTCCTGTATGGCCTTTATAAACAGGCGGTTGTTGGAGACATTAACACTGGTAGGACCGCTACAGAGAAACTGAATCACTCCCATAAAGAGTTCACTAAGTTCAGATTTTTTTCCCTCCTCTCTGTGTGCTTTCACAACTGTAGAGAGACCGGGGATGCTGGACCTAAAAGGAAAGGCCAAGTGGGACGCCTGGGAGTCGAGGAAAGGTAACGAGTTAGGAAAGCTTGTGAATGTTACATTTGTCCACGAGAACTTAACACTTTAACTGAAGGTGCTGGGAAAGTGATTCATTAGCAGGTTATAGATCATACAAGGATATATGAGACAGATATTTTTTTGCCAAGTTTGCAGCTGGAACAGTTTTTGGTATTTGTCTGTACAAAATAAGGTAAAGGAATTGGTTCTTTTACACTACGAGCCACACACACACACATTTACACTCCACTGGATGCAAGGACGCATGCAGACTGGAGGGGCTCCACCTCCTGGTTGCCTGCAGAGTAGTCTATCGCTGTGTCCCATTTCAGGATCTGCACGCTTGAAGTATGCATTTTAAGTGCGGTTACGTCACCGCCACGCGACGACGGCTGTCCCAATTCGAAGTGTACTT